ATAATAATCAATACAAAATACCTATAAAGTAATGAGTGCGTATTAAAAACAAGAATATAATAATAATGGTAGTCTTTTAAATTGATACAAATAAATGCTGTTGCTTAAGTATAAAAAAAATTAACAAAATAATATTTAATATAGTGAACATACATAATATTAAGCATATTATACTATTTGTAGGATCCTTCTACCACAGTAGTTAAAAAAATATTACATAAAGTATTATAGATCAATATACAAAATACTTATAAAGTAATGAGTGGGTATTAAAAACAAGAATATAATAATAATTAAATATAAAAATATATGCTAACAATACTTATAATTTGAAATGTATTTCATTTATTTAGTTCAGAAATAATTGTACTTATAATTGGGTGAGATTGGTCAGACTTAATGTGAATATTATAAAAAAATTTTTGTACAAACAACCATACAATATAAGATTCCTCAGGGTACAATAGATTAAATGTATGAAACAACTTAAAAACTACATCCACAGCTCTCTGGATAGTTAAAACTTTATACTTTATGTCATCAAAGTATACAATAATGTCTTTTGGTTCCATTAATTTACCAATTACTACCATAAATGGTTGTATTGGGATACACAAATCTGTGAAAACATCAAACAAATTAAATTAAATTAAGTAGAAAAAATATTTAATTACACAATTAGTGATCATTAATCTTTAAGTAGGTATCTATGAAGATGAGAAATATTATAAGTGTGAATTATTTATAGATCAAATAACAGAAATCATTTATCTCTTACACCTTCACTGCATATCCCTCCTAAATGTTATCATTCTATATTGCCTTATTTTTAGTACTAATAAAAGGTTTAACTTCTTTCTTTCTTGTTGTTTCTTTATGTTCATTTGTCCTGCCTTTGTCTCTCCCTCCTTAAAACACTACCATACCTTTTTGTCTACTATATCTCATCTTAACTATAGGTGCAACTCATATGCTAAGCCTAATTGATAGCATTGTATTAGTATAATATTCCTTAAAATCATAGTAATTTTTAACTCCTAAACATAAACTTCCAAGTAATATTTTAAATACTTTTATCAAATTTTTGAATTGTTACACAAACAAAACATTTTTAGAACCATTATATACATTATATATTTAACAATTCCACATCATTATAATATGTCCTCCTATTTAATTTTTAATAGATACCTAATATATTTACTATAACTAATACCATTTAATATACAAATTTACTATGTATAATCAATGCTAATACCAAAAACAAACCTTTTTTTCTTAGCTATGACATCTTCAAATTGTGAGACTCTATCAACATTAATTATAAATGATTTCTGTGAATCTCTAATTGAATATTTTATGGTGGATTTTTGTCCTTTATCATTACGAGTCAATTTTCTCACCGTAGGAATAAACATTGCATGTAAAAGGTAGAAAATACAAGCAGCACGGCCATCTAAAAAATAATAAATACTTTGTAACATCTAATATTTAATGCTTAAAGAGAACTTACTTTCTAATGGGTTCTTTTCCAAAAGTTCATCAAGCAGGTTTACACTTTGAGAATCTTTGATTTTTAGTTTTAATAAATCTATAAGTTTATGTGATACATCTGGATACATTGTCATTAGGTTTGATGCAGACGGATAAAGTGTATTAAAATCAATATCAATCTAGAGAAACAAAATAAAATTGTAAAAAGTTAAAATACTTCAGTGCAGTTTTGATACTTACTAATTTGTAACCAGATGGAAGTTTGTAGCTTGTCCAGTAATTTAGTGTATCAGTGGTACTTGGACTGTTTTTGATATAATTCAATCTATACTTCACAGTTGCTCTCCAGATAATTTCAATTTCATTGAATGTGCAACTGTCATGTTTTAAAGAATTTAAGTATTGATCAATACCAGTTTCTGGATCTACAAAAAAATATATACAATAAATATATTTATTTATTGTTTTTATAGGATATTATTAGTTAGAAAAATAAAAACAAATTTTAATACAACAAAATATTTACCAAAGTTTCTCAGATGACGAACATTACTATTTTCATCATATTTTGAAAGTTTATGTTTCTTTGTTGCTTCTATTAGCCCACCATTTTTTAAAGTTCTTATTACATTGTGATATTTTGCATATATCTTTCCTTTTGGTGCTCTATTTCCATCACGCATAAAGTAATAATCCTAAACAAAAAATATTTTTAATCATTGTTTGCTCATTTACAACATTTTGAAAACAAAGTACCTTAACTTCATTAGGAAAAGCTGCCACAATTTGATTGGCAATTTCTTCGGCAGTTTTAATTGTCATTGTAACATTTTCTTTTATAGCTGTTTTAATTATCATATCAACCAGTATTATTCTAGATGCATCATTTAATGAGTTAAACTTTTTGTAGTTTTCGAGCACCAAAGATCCCTGTGATTGGTCTTCAAGAATTTTGCTTAGACTTAATACTGTTTTTGTAGTTTCAGGTAACATCATATGAATTGCGTTAGAAATAGGTTGGGCTACCCTCTGAAGTTCTAGTAACTGACTTGGAACTTGATTGTTGGTTTTCCAATTTGACAAACGAATTTCAAATTTCATTTGAATGCCTAGAGGAAAATGTTTCAACAGTTTTTCACATTGAGCTAATGTTATAAAATTTAAACATTCCAAATCAATCATCGAATCTAAACATTTTTTAAATTTGTAATATTAACATTTATATTATAGGTATTCATTGTTATTTTACCAATGCATGTTTTATGTAAATAGCCCAAGTTCCAATCATTCAGCAATAACCACAATTTGTATGAGTCGTCTTCTGTAATCTTTGGATACTCATTGTTAACAGCATTTTGAGATTCGTTTATAATATTTGGAAAATTAACAATGTTTTCAACATCAGTAACATTAAATAACTCAGATGTAAAGCTATTTGATACTCTATAGCTTGCATCATTATCACTTTGTTCCATTTTGTCTAAGATACATATTATAAGCAAATAATTATTACATTTAATGTTGAAACATATTATTTTATATAAACATATTAAAATATCTTAAGAAGTATAACAAACAAATAAAAAAAAGTAAATTAAAAATATATTCATAAATATGGATTAAAATATACTTTGTACCTATAATATATTTATATAATAAATGTATATAAAAAATATAGGTATTCTTAGAAACTATTATTGATAAAGTTTTTGGATGTTAATAATATTCTTTAAGTCGTATCATAGTTTGATTATTAATGACTCTAATAATATTAATTGGGGGCCCATTTAAATCATCAATATTAAAAATACTTAAACTACCTGGCTGTGTTAAATTTTCTTCAACAACATATGCATCAAAATGCGAATGATAATAGTTTACTTTTAATTCTTCGGCAAGAATTAAACAATTATTTTCATCGGAAACTATAATTTGTAAAATTTTGAAAAGATTTAACATTTCAATCACTCTGGTGACAAACATATCTGCTTTGAACAAAGTTCCTTTGTAATCTACTTGGGTATAACATTTAAATTGAATAGGTAAAATTAAACTTTGTATAAATTGTAAATATTCATTATTTTTTATTTCGTGAGTTTGATTAATAATTAAATTAGTAGGAGCAGGATGGAAAAGTTGATATGCGAATTTCATTTGCATTTTTTTCCCCAAAGTATAAGTTATATTTTTACGAGAGGAAGTAGCATGTGCATATAATTTAAGCTCTTTATGTTTAGCTTCGAATCTAAAGCACCAAAAATGCCTCGGTGGACCCGACTGCCTAATAATGGTTGGGTAATGAATCAATATGTGGTGCTTTGGTTTTAATGAATCGTGAAATAATAAAACATATTGTCTATTATGATTATGAATTAAATTTTTTAAACTCGTTACTTTTTGTTCACATATACTGTAAGATAAAAGAATGTCAATAATTTGGAGTAAATTCATAAAGAATAACCAGACTTCATCATTTTCAGGAACTAAGTCCCCGACCATTAAAGGAAAAAAATGTGTAAAAGTCATCATTTCTCGAGCAGACATTTTGAGATGGAAGTTTTGCAAATGTTTTGTGTTTATTGAAGGAGAAATATTTCCTATTTCTATTGAACCATAATTAAAATTACTTTTTCTTAAATTCAATGTATCCAAAGAAAAATACTTGACGTTTTCAGTGAAATATTTTATAATATGGCACATATCATAGTGACATATGCCTTCAAACAAGTCGTGCATTACATCCACACAATAATTTTGTGTAACATGAAATGAAGGTATTTTATTTAAAAATGACTCACCATGAACTCCTGTTTTACTATTATTATAGTTGGTAATATTCCTCATTAAAAGACTATCTTCTTCAAATAATTTTTTTGTAATATCTTTACTAGCCTTACAAAATCTACAAAAGTATGAAGCTGAAAAAGATCTAGAAAAATCTAAAATCGAATTTAGTCCAAGATTATCTCCTAAGACCAGTCCTAACATAAAATAAACACGTGTGTCTCCTTTTTCAGGAGTAGAGATAATTATGCCTTCTTTTTCAAAACTATATAAAACATCTATGAGACTTTTTAGACAGGACTCATTACCATATTCTTTCATATCGACTGATTTAATGATAGCTGCCAAAAATATATTAGTAAGCTTTGAATTGTTTTCTAATAATGGAAATGAATAATACACAGCACTGACAGCTTGAAATGTAGAATGAGAACCTAGTGGGTTGTTTATTTCTAGATCATCTATGAATAAAAAATATGGAAACACTATTTTATCTGAAAAATTCACTAACTTGGTTTTCCATAAATCACCTTGAATGAAATTTTTCAAAGAGTTAGATGAATTTAAGTTATTTATTCGATCAAGTGATAACTGTAAATTATTTCCATGTTCAAAAATTTTTTTTAATTGGAATTTCATGGGCATTAATAAACCCTTTGTAACATTTTCATCATATATCACCTCTCCTTTATTGTAAACAGAAGTTACTTCTCGATTTACAACTATCTGGTTTAAATGATTAATGTACTGCTCTTCCATGAGCCAATTCATTAAACGGTATTCAGTACTACATAGTGTAAATGTGTTAGATATATCTAATGACAATGCTTTAAATGACGATAATAGTAGTGGGTCATTAATTTTTTCCTTCACAAAACTGTCCAATAGCTGAGCTGTAGGTTTAGTAATGAGTTCTACAATGCCTTTTTGAATATTCAATACATCTCGAAACGTGATATTATTCTTGACATGTAAACCAAGAACAAATTGTACAGCAGACTTATGGAGATCAGAAACTGCTGATTGATAATTGAAACCATTAAAATTATCATTTTGTACAAATATTGAGGTTGCATTGGATGTGAGACTCGGAGTATCAATATTTGTATTGTTAATAATGCAGTTTTGGGTAGGTACAGAAACATTTGATGCTAACTTAATAATATGTTTGTTTTTTACATGTCTTTTAAATGAGCTCAAGCTCTGAAATGACTGAAAGCATGACTTTTCACAACAATCATAAGAACTATCAGGGCCAAGTGAATGAAATACTTTGAAATGGATAACTAATGACTGTAATTGTATAAACTCATTTTTACATATGTAACAAATCATTATCAAAACTAACTTAAAATGTCTACTTAACAAAATAATCAAAAAATCTATAATATTTTTTTTTTACTGTACCTAAATATACCGGCTATACTAAATAATTAATTAATTAAACTTTTTATTAGCGATAATCAAATAATGACGATCTTAAGCTTCGTAAGTTAAATTAACCTACCTATAAAAAAACGGTAGGTACTTAATTATATTTAATATAATATTATTATTTATATTTAATAAATAATAATCAATACATACCTTCTGGCTTCTTTAACTTCCAAGATGGGTATAACACAGAAACGTATGTTATATACGTAAAGTCGTAACACAATACACAAAACACTTGGCAGTTGACGACTTATAAATTTAAAAACAATTAGGTAGGTAGGTAAAGCCCGGTAAAGGTAATACACTAATAAGCGAAGTGAATAGCGTATGGTCAATATGGTTATGTCTAGTCGCCTTGTGTCTACTGTCTACAGTTTGCATGATGGGGTATTGTGGCGGTGCGGCGGGAACGTTTCAGCATAGATATCATAATGGAAATACCCCAATAGTGCAAACATAATTTTAATCGTATAATATATTTTTGTACATTTAAATAAAATATTTGATAAAACAACAATTGGGATTGTTATTTTATTATCTTTTCACATTTTACAAAAGTTTAATTCATGATTTAATGAATAAATATATTGAAATAACAATACTGTTTGATTATTTTTTGAAAATGATTTATTTGTTCAACCATGGAGGTTAATTTTAGAACAATATTCTTCGTAATCGAATAATAAAGTATAATTTGTTATAATTACAATTCATTGTAAACTAGACAAATTAATAGATTGTTAATTCAATAAATTATTGATGGATTATACACTGAGCTTGTGAATTGTACAACTGAATTTTTATTTTAACATTATTATTATTATAGTATTAACAAAATAGATATTCGTTATTTAATTACAAAATTGATTTGTTAGTTTTACCTATGATATTTTTTTCAGTGTAACCATATCTAAACTCCCCGGTACAGGTTTTAATGTAATACTATAATTAATCATATAAGCATTGTACTTTTTTATAAATCTATTTTTCTTATTATGAATTTTGAACAATTTTGATTCTAACAGTGAAGTTTCAGCTGCTGATTCTG